TGAGAGTTGGGACCAGCAGTTAGCGTAATGGCTATGTCGCTGGACTCCCATGTGGTCGGCTGCTGTTCAAGTCCTGAACCGGATGGCTTAAACTCACACCGGGTGCGTGTGCATGCGTGCGTGCCCAAGATCTCAAGAGGAGAATGGAGAAGGGATTGCAGCATGGCCACCCACCCCCGCCCCTCCACCTCCCATCCCCCACCCAGGGAGTGATTTCTCGCTTTCTGTCTCTCTGTCTCTCTGTGTCTTTCTGGCGAGCGCACACGCCCTATAGTAAAAACCTCTCCAAAAAAAAAAGAAAAAAGTTTAAAAAAATAGAGTAATTAAAATGAAAAGTTCAATACCATAGCCACATTTCACGTGCTCAGTAGCCAGCCACATGTGAGTATTCCACAAAAGACAGAGAACATGTCTTTTCTTTAAAATAATTATATCAGTTTATTAATTATTATTAAATTTGCTACAGGGCACAAGTGAATACCAGAGAGAGAGAGCGAAAAAGCAAGCTGCCAGGTCTGGGACTGGAACCTTGGTCGGCCGTGTGGAAGTCCAGTGCCTTAACCACCACACCACTTGCTGGCCCCAGAGAACACTTCCTTTACCACAGGAAGTTTTGTCAGACAGCTCTAGTCTGGAGGAAGGAGTGGCTTCTGCTCGTGTAAAGGCTCCATCATGACACCCTGAGTTACTAGGGTACACCAAGCAAGCATGAAAGATGGTGGACTGAGGACCTCGTGTTCCCCCAAGCTTCTGGTTGAACAGACAGTTCTGCAACCTCCTGAAACCTGTGTCCCAAATCTCCCCTAAAAAGGAATGGGGTCTGCATGTGTGTCTGTACCAGGCACCCATGAGCAGGATCCTGACGATTTCTCAATCCAGCTGCAGAGAGGCTGGGGCCAGAGCATGGTGCCTTTCTCTGGTCCAAAGCAGCTGATGGGAGAGACTCCCAGGTGCAGGGAGGCCTGGGGGGAGGGTGCAGAAATTGCTGCGGAGAGAGAATGTGTCTCTCTGGGAAAGTTTCTTTGTAACTTCCAGGGACTGAGGAACCACAGGCCCAGCCTGCTCACAAGCACACCCATTCAAACGTCTCAAGTCTGCGAGGCGCCGCCCATTCTTTCCTGACCAGGTATGGCAGGTAAGGTTCAGAGGACAGTTCCTCACCCTCTGACGCTGGGGTCCTGGCCAAGATGGGCGCTGAAGGCTTCCTCACCCAAGTCCAGGGCTTCCCGACCTTGCTTCTAGATTGTCGTTTTTCTGCCCTGTAAGCTATTGATTTTCATAACTGATCACGAACGTTTGTTTTGTTTTGTTTGGGGAACTTCCTGGTAACAATGTACTAACTCTTGCATCACTTAGGACTTTGGGTTGTAACTAAAATTGGCTTAGACCAAAAGGAAACGTATTGGTCCAAGTCACTGAAAACTATGGGTGGTGTGCCTTCAACGGTCTGGACTGTGGGTCTCAAAAGTGTCACTCACGATCTGTCTTTATTCTGCTTCCCCCCGCTTTGCTATAGGGCATGTATACTCAGAGAGAGAGGGAAAGCCAAGAGACAAAAAATGAGAAATCACTCTCCAGTGGGGGTGGCCAGACATAATCCCTTCTCCTCTAGTCTCTTCTCAGGATTTTGGGTGCACATGCAGTGCACACGTGCACACACACAGGGTGTGCTTTTCAATCAAACCAACAAGAGAGAGCCCCGCACATTTTTGCTGGAAGTATCAAACTAGCAAAAATGTGGGGCCCTCTCTCATTGGTTGCTTTGGGTCAGTTGTTTATTTTGAGCCAATCACTGATGACAGAGATTTCAGCTGTTGTTATTGGCCAGTTCGGGGTGTATGTCTCCTCTACCCACAGCCCAAGGTGGGGGCGTGCTTTCTTTCATCCATATTAATGGAGGGAAGGGAAGGACTCCCCAAAGGAATATGAGGGCAATTGCTAAAAGAAGAGAATGAATGCTAAGTGGAATGAGCCAGGTCTCAGGCTCTCACACTGTGCTCCACGGCTGCAGCCACCTTGAATTTTCTGGAAGAAAAGAAAGGCAGTAGAAATTGGAAGAGCTGGAGAGATTTGAAAAATAGCGGAACAAACAGAACCGAGTGGCAGACTGGGCTTGAGAGTAAGGGAGAGAGAGAGTTCTTGGTTGCAAACAGAAACGACTCTCGCAGGCCAGTAGGCGGCGTGGAGGTGAAGGCAGATGCACCCCCATCGCCAACGGCACGGTTTTAGGCAGGGCCCAGGGGCTTGAAAAACACATCAGATACATGTGCAGGTGTGCTTAACATCCCAAGAGGAGACCGGATTGTGCTGTAGCCGGCCCCCTGGAGTGTGCTTGTCACTTCCCCTCTCTCTGAGGAGCCCAGGTGCCCCATAGCAAAAGAAAAACAGAAAGAAAAGGACTCCAGCTACTGAACGAAGGGACAGGGATCCACAGCACCCACCAGGAAGGATGGGCCTGGGAAGAGCCAGGAAGCAGGAGCAGGGCACCCCTCAGCAGAGAGTGCTGCTCCCCAATACCCATGCCAGGATTTTAATTGGCCTAAGCTAGTCACGCAGACCCTGTTACCCTGGCCAGAGATGGTTTAGGGCTGTCATATGACCCAGTTTGGGCCAATGAGCCTTGAGGGGAGTCTGCCTGGATTTATTTTTTGACTGAATTTGCCACGTCATAGTCCTTCTGCCTCAGCCTCCTAGCAGGGATGACAGCCACACGTCACCACACTTAAAAAAAAAAAAAAAAAGAATTAATTTTATTTATTCATTCATTTTTTAAAATTTGACCAGAGCAAGACACACACACAGAAGGCAAGCACCAGGTCTGGGACTTGAACCATAGTCAACCACATGGGAGTGTCCAGTGCCTAAACCACCATGCCTTCTGATTAAATTAAAAAATATATGAATAAGAATTATTTTATTTAACTTTATTTATTTATTCATTTGTTTGTTTCAATTTGACTAGAAAGGGACAGAATGAGAGAGAGAGAAAGTGAGAAAGCAAGCTGCCAGATCTGGGACTCGAACCACGGTCGGCCATGTAGGAATCCAGCGCCCTTAACCATACCACCTGCCAGCCCTGCCCAGTGTGTTTCTCATTCTTCAGGTCAAAACCGAACTGCGCTCTGCCATGTGGGATTGGGCTTTGTAGCACAGGGCTCAGCTGCTGTGTCCTAATGGACATTTTTTTAAAAACATATTTTAGAAATATTTCATTTTTAGATAATTATTTAATTTAATTTTATTACTAATTTTTTTTTCCAGAGAGAGACACAGAAAGAAAGTGAGAAAGCAAGCCTCCAGGTCAAGAGCTCGAACCACGGCCGACCACGTGGGAGTCTAGCGCCCTAACCACCAGACCACCTGCCAGCCTCCCCCTTTTTTTTTAAAGAGTTATTTAACTTTTATTTATTTACTTTAATTTTAATTTGACCAGAGAGGGATAGAGTGTGTGAAAGAGAAAGAGAAGAAAGTGAGAAAGCAAGCTGCCAGGTCCAGGACTTGAGCCACAGTTGGCCATGTGGGAGTCCAGCACCCTGAACAACCACACCACCTGCTTTTTTTTTCTTTAAGTTTTTGCCAAGGGTGCATGTGCTCACTGGAGAGGAGAGATATAGAAAGAGACAGGGAAAGTGAGAAATAACCCCCAAGGGGGATGACAATGACACAATCCCTTCTCCTCCTGGGATCTGGGCACACACACACACACACACACACACACACACACACACGCTTGGCATGACTGTCAAGTCACCATGTTCAGGACTTGAACTTTGGTCAGCCATGTGGGAGTTCAGTGCCTTAACCACCACGCCACCTGCTGGTCCGATGGACCGTGTTTTAAGCTGCTGCTTATAGTCCCTCACACAGCAGAAGAAGGCCAATACTCTCCCTGATGGGCTCGAAGTCCCTTAAGGAGAAAGCTTCCCCATTTGATCTGCATAACTCCCTCATCCCCTCAAGGATGTGCCTGTCCCTGCTATCCAGGAAGGTGGGGACCGGCTGGTCACCATTCCACCCCTCCCCACCACCTCCCTGCCCCCTGCCGCGGGGCCTGACCAGGAAGTGGCCCTGCTTCCCACAGACAGCCCGGGCCCCACCAGGCCCAGGGGCAGTTTGACCAACCTTCCTGAGCCCAGAGACCTTTGCCCTGCCTATCGATCTGTACCCTGGGCAGGCAGTCGGGCCAGCGGACGGCCAGGCGCCATGTGGGCTCTGCTGCTCCTAGGGTCCCTGCTGGCAAGCCTGGGCCCAGCACTCTCGGTGAGCCTGCAGGCACTGGCTCGGACCATGGCTCTGGGGTCTGGGTCACAGCCTCAGCCCATGACCTGGTCCAGGTGACCAGTGCTGTGTGGGAAGGTGTGACCAGCTCCAAGGCGGCGGGCAGAGCAGGCAGATGACAGAGCTGGTGGCTCCGAGGGCAACCTGCGATTCTGGTAGGGAGAGGGCTTGTGAAGACAGTGCGAGGAGAGTCAGGTCTCATAGGAAAGGTCCGCGTTTCTGGGCTGTGAGAGGACACCGGGGCTGGCATGCTGACGCGGTGGGCAATTCCTGCCTTCCTGTCTCCTTGCAGACCCCGCCTTGGAAAGCCCCCAAGCAGCACAAGCAAAAAGCCAGCGAGCCCACGGCAGGTGAGTAGCCGGCTGCCCCAGGACCCCCTTGGGCCAGAATGAGTCTGAGGAGTGCGCAGTCTTGGGTGGGCCCTTGGAGGGGAGGAGGGGTCCTGGGCACTCTTACTCTCGTGACCAGAGTTGTTCTGGCTGGCATTCAGACCTGAGTGCACACTGCATGCAGGCCTTGTGGCCACAGACACCAGGAGACTAGAGTGCTAGGAGCTGGAGCTCCCTGGCTCAAACCTGGGCACCCAGTCCAGAGCCTGCTGGGCACAGGAGCGTGGGCATGTGCTGCTGCCACCTCACTCCTGGGCTCACGCCGGGCTTCAGCAGCTTGCCCAGCACCCCGCCTCTTCCTTTCCTTAACACATGGCACAGGGACCATCACACACAGCAGCCAGGCCCTCTGTGGGCAGAGGCTTGAGGCCAGGCTCTGGAGCCCGGATGCCCATGAGTGCCGGCCTCATTGGTATGCGCTGGGTGACTGGGCCAGTGACCTGGCCTCTCCAAGCTTTAATTTCCCCAGCTATAAAAGTGGGTGGGGCTGGCAGTTGGCGTGGGGGTTAAGGGCACTGGACTCCCACATGGCTGACCTCAGTTTGAGTCCAGGACCTGGCGGCTTTCTTTCTCTCTCTCTCTTTCTTGCTCTGTCCCTCTCTGGTCAAATTGAAATAAATAAATAAATAAAGTTAAGTAAAAAAAAAAAAAAAATTTTAAAGTAAGCTAGAGGGACCAGCAGGTGGCATGGTGGTTAAGGTGCTGGACACTCCCACATGGCTGACCACGGTTCAAGTCCTGGACCTGGTGCCTTGCTCTCTCACTTTCTTCTCTCTCTCTCTGGTCAAATGAAAATGAAGGAATGAATAAATGAATTAATTAATTTTTTTAAAAAGTGAGCTAGAATAGTAAACTGCTCAGGGTTTGTTAGGAAGGAGATTTGAGTGGTTAATCCATGTAAGACACTTGACCTGGAGCCCAGTGCACAGTAAATGCTTTTAAAATACCAGCTTTGGGCTGGCAGGTGGCGTGGTGGTTAAAGGCCATCAGTGGTTTGGGTCTTGGACCTCGTGGTTTACTTTCTTGCTTTCCTTTCTCTCTCTCTCTGTCTCTATCTGGTCAAATATAAAAATGATAATAGTAATAGCAAATGGAAATAAATAAATATTAAAAAAAAAAAGTCTGGTGGAAAGAACAGGGAAAACTCTTGGAGACCTTGGAGTAGCACAGACTTCTCACAGACATCCCCCAAAGCACAGGCAACAGTCCCCAGAAAAGACAAATGGGACTATGTTAGGCTGAGAGGCTTCTCCCCAGCAAAGAAGCAATGCCAAGGGTGAGCAACCAGCCCTCAGAGTGGGAGAATATATTTGCAAACTACACCTCAGATAAGGAGCTGATGACCAGAACACACAGGGAGCTCAGTAGCTTCTCCACAAAAGAATAATTGATCCAGTTAAAGACAGGAACATGAGCTCAACGCACAGCCCTCCAAGGAAGATACACAAATGGCCAAGAGGCATAGGAAAACATACTTGGCATCTCTTATCATAAGGGTCGTGCAAATCAAAACCCATAGCCATTACGCTAACTGCTGGCTCCCAATAATTCTTTTTTTGTGTGTGTTGTTTTTTTTGAGAGGTTTTTGCTATAGGGCGCATGTGCTCGCCAGACAGACAGAGAGAGACAGAGAGACAGAAAGCGATAAATCCCCCCCCCAGTGGGGATGGCCACACCGCAATCCCTTCTCCTCCATTCTTCTCTCAGGATCTTGGGCACACATGCACACGCGCCTGGTGTGAGTTTTAAGCCACCGGGTCCGGGACACGAACCGTGGTCGACTACGTGGGAGTCCAGCGACATAGCCATTACGCTAACTGCTGGCTCCCAATAATTCTTTTTTTTTTTTTTTAATAAAAAACAATTAAAATATCAGCTTTAGGGGCCAGCAGACGGTATGGTGGTTATGTCTCTGGACTCCCATATGGCTGACTGGGATTTGAGTCTCAGACCTGGTGGCTTTGAAGTCATGCCAGGTGCATGTGCGTGCATGCCCAAGATCCTGGGAGGAGAATGGAGGGAGAAGGCATTGCAGCGTGACCATCTCCCCAGAGGGGTGATGGTTTCTGTCTGTCTCTTTCTGGCAAGCACATGTGCCCTAAGGCCAAAACCTTCCCAAATAATTCAGCTTTTATTATTAAGTTTCTTTATTTACTCATTTATTTTTCATTATTAGTGATGGTGGGCATGTGAGAGAGGAGAGGGAGGTGCACCCTCCACAGGGCCTGGTCCTCATGACCCCCCTGCAGCCCTCTAGCCATCGGATCAGAGTGGGGTGCATGCCTGTCTTGCACACCTGCCTAGTGTTTCAGGCCGTCCGGGCTGGGGATTCGAACTACGTTGCCATGTGGGATCTGGCGTCTCCTGAGCAGCGCATTAGCACAGTCCATGGCAGAAGGCGGGCTACGTGATGACATTCAGCAGGTTAGGTCTGTCACCTGCAATTTCTTCAGAACTATTTTCCCTCCTTCCCTCCCTCCCTCCCTTCCTCCCTCCCTCCCTTCCTTCCTTCCTTCAATTTGACCAGAGAGGGACAGAGTGAGAGAGAGAGGGAAAATGAGAAGGAAAACCGCCAAGTCTGGGACTCGAACAGTGGTCGGCCATGTGGGATCCAGCTCCATTAACTACCATGCCACCTGCCGGCCCCCATTACTTGCATTTTTAACTAGAACAGTTTCAACTTATGGCGGGTTTATCAGGAACTGACCTCAGTGTGAGTCAGAGATCTGCTTTTTTTTTAACTTGCCTGAGGGTGTGCACACCCGCTGGGGGGGTGTGTGGAGAGGGGGTGTGCAGAGAAAGCTCTCCCATGGGGACTGGTTAAAGGCGTCGGATCCCACGTGGTCCCACGTGGTCATCTGTGGGACACTGCACGATTCCTTATCCTCCATTTCCCCCTTCTTTCAACATTTTAGGCAATGCATACACATCTGGCATCTTTTAAGCTGCCAGGTCCAGGACTTGAACCACACAGTGGGAGTGGGACATTTGAGATTCAGCTCACATTACCAGCCATGAGCCGGTCCATCGAGCAGCACCTCCACAGCAGCTCTGACCATGTGCAGTAGTCAGATTGGTACAGTCAGGCCGCAGGTGGTGTGGTGGTTAAAGTGCTGGACTCCCACGTGGCCAACCGCAGTCTGAGTCCCAGACCTGGCAGCTGGCTTTCTCATTTTTCCCTTCCTCTCTCCCTGTCTATCTCTATTCAAATTGAAAATAACAATAACAATAATAATAATAACAACAAATAAAATTAAAGAAATACTTTTTTTGGTTTGTTTGTTTGTTTGTTTTGGGAGAGGTTTTCGCTATAGGGTGTGTGCGCTCGCCAGACAGACAGAGACATTAGAGACAGAAAGCGAGAAATCACCCCCCAGGGGGGATGGCCAC